AGGAGAACTTTACTTAAGTATGGTCATTGATTTCTTTTCCATTTTGTGTTATATTTAAGATGTATTTTATTTATACATCTTTTATTTTATTATATTTAATTTTATTATTATGTTTTAAGTTACTCTCTGTTACCCCCTTGTGCCAGTCTCCTTTCCCTTAGCTCCTTCTAGTTACTTCTGTCTACACCTGCTCCCTATCGGCTAATTAGTCCTCCCATTGTTTCTGTCTCTCATACCCTGCTATTCAATTATTCTTTGCTAGATCCTTGTCACTCTTTTGGTTTATTCCTCCCTCGTTTCTCCTAGGTTTTTTGGTTATTGAGTTTTCCTTGTTGGGAAATACATTGATCATTTTGAATAATATAAACAAACAATGGTCCATTAAAATTCACATAATAAACTGGAAACTCTTAATAGGCATCCAATAGGGTTGCTTTAAAAACAATAATATTTTGCTGGCTATTGTTGTGCTGATGCCATTTTTTGGCCCTGATACCGATACCTGGCTGTGCAGTATCGGCCGATACCATACTGCTACCATCTGTTTGGAAAAAGGAAAAGCAAAAAAGACGTCTACAAAGTGAATCCAGCAAAACTTTTTTATTGCCTACCTGGAATGGGTGACAAAAGTTGAATAAACTTTTGGCTCTCAAAATCGTATCAATGCCCTATTTGTTGGTACTCGCCGATACCGATACCACCATTTTAGTGCTGTATCGGGGCCCTGCCCAATACTGGTAACTGAAATATCTCCTTCCAGAATATGTGTCTCAGAATTATTTCAAAATTCAGATTTTAAAGAAATGAACAACTTCACAGCATGTTCAGCAGATTCACTATTGGCTACATCTAATATGACTGTGAAGTGTGAAGAAACAACCATCTGCAGGAGCTGCTTCCTTTAAAATTCATCCAGTTTTTCCTCTGTCTCATTGGTCCTGAAAAAGTAAAGATAGGGAAGTTTGAGGAATAGCACTGAAAAAGAGAACAAAAAAAATCACCTCTGTTTAAGTGGAAGATGATCCTCTTGTGGAAAGTTTTCTTCCAGTTGTTGTTTAGTAGGTTTTAGTGTTATCTCACATTAACAGAACTCTACACCAATCAAACATTTAGAACAAAGCTGAAACTTCCACTAACTTACTGATCACAAAAAGTTTCTGTGCAGGTCTACAAACTTGTTTCCTCAGTTATGATAAAGGAGACATGCTATGGATGCCGAAATGCTCCCAGGATCAGTCTGGATCCGGTTCAGGTCCCGCAGGCTTTAGGGAGGGCCTTGGTTTGGGCTGAGTATCTAGCTCCAGGGTCAAACTGGCAGCAGGAGAGGGATATTGGGAGGATGCCACATACGAAGAATCCACACAAACACCTCCCAATCTGGTGTGGGAGGGCAGAGGAGTGTCATGTGGGAGAGAAGGTGAGGATGTATTCACATTTAGGTGTGAAGTTCATAGATCCCCTCCATCTGTAATTTTATTCCCCGCAGCATTAAGACCATAATGACTGTTATATAGACAACCTGATCATCATTAGGCATGATTATTTAGGAAATTTAAGTATATGAAGATTTCTAAGGGTAAAATATGAATATTTAAACTCAGATAACCCACTGATTTACTGTACATGGAAGAAGAGATATTTTTTATAACCAAATATATTGCTTTTACCCACTGGTTTTGTGATACTGGTTTAACCTGTGGAGGACTTATTGTCGACTCATGAGATGAGGTCATTTCAGATAGAGGAACTGTTTTACTGTTGTTATAGTTTATCTGTCATTTAGAAGTTTCTTTTATCAGAGAACTTCTAGCATGTGCAAGTTCTACAGTAGGAGAGTCCTTCTAGATCATAGCAATTCACAATTGATAAACAGTTTTGTGTTCACATTCATACAATATCAAAGAAGCAGCAACTATGAATTGTAATAGTGGTTTCAGAAATCTAAATTGGTCTTGCTGGGCTTTTATGCCACAACCCAGGGGTTTACCTTCTTAAATCAACGATAATCAAATTTTTGTGAAAATAACTTAGGAATAGTCCGAGACAACATCAGATTTAACCTCGACTTCCTACTACCACGAAGCCCGATTCTTTCTTAGACATGTTAGTCATGATAGTAACATACTCTGAAAGCAAACCTGCTCCAGGGCAGGATAGCTTTCAGGATTGATATGAATCCTAGAAAACGTTCCAACCAGCAGCCAACAAGCTGTTTGGGAACAACAGCGTACCCTTTCACTGAAGACCCATTTTGATTTAGAGTACAAAACTAACTTAAACAAAACAAAATGCAGAAAAACCAAAATCTGTTATTTAGAACTTGAACAGTTTTCAATTCATTCGTTTATTTTTCCTTCTTTATGACACCGACAGAGTCGGTCCTTCATATACATGAACCTGCTAGATGTGGGATTTCACATGGTCACACGTACAGTCGGAGAAACAGGGAGGGCCGGTAAAACTGGTAGCGTTCATATTGTTATAGTAGTAGTAAAGTATCCTCTAATGATTTGCACTCTGATTTCTATTCTAAAAATATAATAACATGCACATAAATAAATACTTAAAAATATAAGTAATTAAAAAATAAAGTTGAAGATTATAAAGGACAGAAAAATAAATAAGGTAAATATTACAAAGGCAAATAAATAAAGAAGCTAATTAAGAGTTATATACATTTATGTCTCACTTTTTTGTTGGCAATTAATTGTATGCTTATACATTTATTGAGCATTTATTTATTTCTGTATTTATTTTTAAACATGGCAGAGTCGGTCCTTCATACATGTACACCAACGGGGATGCTGAGCTGCTTGGGAAAAATCCAGTCTGTCCAGCTGTCCATCAAGTGTCCAGTGTCCTTATGCTTCTCTGGCCTCTTAAATAACATGCTGATGTCATTTTGCACATCTCTGGTGCTGCTGCTATTTCCCCGTACTCCTGTAAAAATGTTTACTGCTGTATATTGGTTATTTATTCTTCTGGTGTACAGTATTTATATTTTTAAATATACTGTGCAATACAGTATTTAGTTTATTTTTAAACTTGGTCACTTATTCTGCTATTGCTACACTTTTAAGGTTCACACTTGTGTGACCACTTTTGCTGTAATGCTTTCGCTGCTCTAACTTCACAATTTCCTTATTGTGGGATGAGAAAATGATTTTCTATTCTATTATGTAAATTAGGAGGGGAAACGCTACACTAAAGCTGCACCGATGGGCGATTAATAGTTAACTGCCAGGTACAAAAAAGAAAATCAAAAACATTGATAATGTAAAGGAGAAAGTCTGTATGAGACTAAAATAGAAATGCTTTGAATTTTCTTTTAATTTGAAAATACTTGAGGTATTTCTGTACATTTAGGGCTGCATTTGAGGACTTTCAGCATTTTAAAAGCAAAGTAGAGTTTTACCATTTGTCTCTATTGAGTTCTGACAGATCTCAGAAATCAGGGTGATTTCACTAAAACTGATAATTCCTTGTAGTAATATAATGACATTGAGGCATCGCCCTCCAGCTTTGTTGTAGCACATACATTGTTGAGTTAAAAAGTCCAGCATATCACATTAAATTATATTTTTGTGTTTTATTTTTATCTGCTCCCAAGTCCTCTTTACTCCCATGGGCAATGCAATTAATATGCAGTAAAGTGATTGGGATGTATGCCTGTGTTAAATGTCACTGATGTGCAAGTCGCACATTTACACAGTCAGCAATCCTTTGAGGTCTCTTTCACGCCGCCACATTGTTTGACTTTTCATTGAGAATTTTTCTTCTCTTTGATATTCTATAATATCAGTTTTTGTTCCTCAAAGGAGAAATACAGCGATCTCCGCTCATGATTGTGATTGGTCTACTTCGTACCTGCCTCCTTACACATCACAGATTCAGGATCAGTTCAAGCTGGATTGAGTTTTTTGGTAGATGGCAAACAGCAGCTAGCAACGGTATTAACCTAACAGCAGCTAGGTTAATACTGCAATCAAAAAAATATCTATTTAATCAAGCCGGGCGCCTCCGGGCGCATTACTGCCCCCCTCAGGACACTGGCTGGTGACATTTCAAGGGCATTATGCGGCCATGTAATAAGCATAAGTTAGGCTATCGTTGGACATAAGACATACGCTGTTTATACGCCCTCAATTTAAAAATAATACATAGAAAGTTCAGTTTCTGACAACGTTTTAGGAGATTCTGGGATGTGGAGGCATACGCTGTCTGAATTGACAGGGTGGGACAGGGCCCCAAGAGTTTGATTGATCATTTACCTCCTTGAAACAAATAAAGAATGTCAAATGTCTCAGCTGCTACTGCTACTGTGATTGGCTAAAAACTTGACATGGGAGGCAGCTACCCAATCAGCTTGAAGAATTGTACTGAATGTCCCTCTTTTCAGCGAACAGGTTCTTCAGGATGCTTCCCAGATTGATACATGTAGTTCAATTTGAATTCTACACAGTATCAATCTGTCATATGCCAGGTTACCAGTTACCTTCAGACCAAACTTTGGATAGTATTTAAATCTTCTCACTGACATGTAAAAGATTTTCCTAAAATGTATAAGGTCAAAATAAATCAAATATGAGAATATTAATATAGCAGAAGTATAATATGTACCGAAGAACTTTCACTAATTGTAGCAGGAACAATTTCTCTAATAACAAATTTACATAATTAGTTTTTGGCCTTTTTATCAAAAAACTGTGCAACGCCTTTGTCTACTATGACTTAGCCGACACAAAAAGAAGACCAAAGAACTAAGACCGCCTTTATTTTTTAATCAACACAGGAAGTTGTAGGCAGCAGAAAGAGGTGTGATTTAGATCGATCATCTTCACTTCTATGCAGTTTATGTTGAACAAAACACCTTCGTGGAAAGTTTTTAGTGGATTGGTGGGAACGTTGAGAGCAGCAAAAAGGCTGACATTTCATAACGGAGCACTACTACACCTTTATACACAAGGCTAAAAATGGAACCGTTTTTGTATTAAGCGTTATTTTTTTACATTTGTGGATGAGTCACATATTTAGATTGAAGGAAACACCTTCATGGTCGTTCATGATGTGGGCAAATGGACCGAGCATCACTCTGCTTCAGCTCTCTGAAGGTTCTCTTTGGAGTTGGCTGGCATTGGTGTTGCAGTGATGGGTGATTTCTGCCTGGAGCTTCTTCTGAGTCTCCATCATAAACTCATCCTGGTGGTCAAACATAAGAAAAATACAGTCATTACTGGTTAAAATGGTGATACGGAGCTGAACAGGTTAGGAGGTAAAAGACAGATCTTTAGGGAAGCTGTTCTCCTCTTTTTCTTAAAATCCAGTCAGTCAGACTGACAGTAAAATGTTTTGGGCGTTTTTCACATAATTTTATAGATTTCTTTACCAACACCATGTAGAAGTAAATAAAACAACCTGAAAATTGCTCCAACTGGTTCTTGCTAGTTTAAACCGGATTACTAACTTTTGTTTAACTCCAGTTGAACATGTTGTTCCTACCTTCTTTTTTTATTCTAAGTAAGCAAGCAAACTAGGAGTGATTCTGTATAAAAAAAACAACAAGATTTCAGATAAAGGAATTAGGACTGACTCAAGAGCATCTCAATTGTTAATTTTCAGTTTTTGAAATCTAACAATTGAGATGCTCCTAACGACTCCCCATTACAGAGGCATGGACCCGTTTCAGGTTAATTTGCAGGCCAACAACGACCTAAACGTCTCCCCATTACTGTTTTTGGTTCAATTTGCAAAAGCATGGAACTCAACGCTACTCTAGACTTTTTGATTTGAGAAATCTTCCTGGACAGGAACCAAAATATCTTCAAAGTTGGAAAACAAAGTCAAATGGTTTGATTTTTCTTTTTTTGGACATTTGTGAAACCGTTGAGGTGTTTCAATTGAATGTGTTTTCATGCTCGAAACTTAAAAATCTTATTTTGATTTAGTTTTTTTATACCAAATATTTTATTATATGAAATATAATGTGCTGAATATAAATTAGAATGCTGACATAATTCAAGAAATGGTTTTAAAAAACTCCTGAAGAGAAACAAACGTCTTCCATTGCTTCATGTACTGTTGATTAGATCAGGCTTAAAAAACCTTTTGTTTGTTGAAAAAAACATGGTTTTCTGTCTGTATGAATTTTTATTCTCAATGCTTATTGGATTACTTAACAAATTCCTTTAGGTATATAAAGCAGGAAAGTACTGTTTATTTCATAATTATTTTAAAATATATCTATTATTTTTTACTGTTCTCTGTAAAGGGAAAAAATCCATATAGGAATGCTAACTTATTTAGAAAAGGGAAGCCAAGTTTATTTTTAATAGTGCATTTTACTGGCAAGACAATTGAAAGTGTGAGTGTATAACATGATAAATAGAAAAATAAATGTTTATTAATAAAATGAAAGAAATCTCGAGTACAAACTTAAACTAAAAATGTTTTTATAGCACAGTAAATGGCCTCTCTAAACAAATAGCATAGTATATTTTAAAAGTCTGTTCCCTGAGATATGGGGAGCCACTTTATGTTAACAAGGGGGTGAGGTTGCTTGAGGACCCACAAGCAGAGATGAGTGAGGCAGAGATGAGTTATTAGTGGATGTAATGCAAACTGAGGCAAACATCCAAAACACAAAAAAATACTGAGAACCAAAACAACAGCAAACATCAGGGAAAACTCACGTGGAAAGCCAGAGACAAGAAAGCAACTAGCAATGAACAAGGAACCAGCACTGAGTAACTGCAAAGGTGGTGTATATAAGGGGAACAGAACAAAGGATGTCTAATGAGCTGGAGCGGGTGTGAGTGGAACTAGAAGGAAGCCAAGGCCAAAAGGAAACAAGCACAATGGACAACAGAGAATAACTTAAGACTGCTTGAATGTAATGGAAAATATCAAAGATCAACAAAACAGAATTTTTTTAGGCAGATTTTGTTACAGGCTTTATGTGCCTCAGAGAGTTCAGGTCTAAGTCTAAGATTTTAAGCCTGATTGGTCGTTTTTAGTTGTATTAACTGGAACTGTGTGCCAACTGCTAAACATTCTTCTTTAGAAAATCATGGCACATCCATGCAATGATATCTTCTATGCATTTACCCAACACCTGAATGGGTTCATAACCAACCTAGTGAACATTGTAATGTACAGCTGTGTGTCATCTGCTTAGTTTTAGTAACTATTGTTGTTATTTATTAAGATCTGAGTTAGGAGGAGCATGTAGATAATGAATAAGAGGACTCCTTATATTGATCCTTTTGGAGCAGCACAACAGATTTTTGTGGTATTTGATGTAAAGTAACTAAAGTACTATTCTGATTTAAAAGCACAAAATACATATTAATTGAATTTGGCCCATATACTTGCTTTTCAGGTATTGGTTAACCCCATTTGGTCACATATCTGTCTAATCTGTTCCCAGGACTGGAAATAAAAAAAGGGAAGCGGAATACGTCTTCTATACTCATCATTGCTTCCTGAAAAATCAAAGATGTAAAGAAACTGTTGGTCCAATGTAAACCAGGGCTTGAAACAATACTGTTTCAAGGGTAATATTTATTTTTTGTTTGCTTGCTTGTTTGTTTGGTTATTTATCTTTGTATTGCATTGTTATGATTACCTCTATTCATATAAGTAAACAATCCAAGTCTCTTTGGGAACCAAAAAACACTAAAAATTGAAGCAATGTTAAATATACCATAAACAGCTATATTTGAGGTGAAAGTAAAGAATTTGAAACAATAGCAACTTGTGTTAGAACTTTAATAGCAAAAAAGCCTTATTTGAAGAAGTTCCTAATCTTGATTTCGCCTTTCAAAATAAGAGCTTCAAATCACTTTTTACATATATAAGCATGTTGGAGCAAAGAAGTGGTTGGAATCCTGCACTCTTTCCCTCTCCACCTCTTCTTCTACACCCAGCTCTCCTCCTCCTCTCTACCGAGGCGGTGGTCTGCAGCAGAGCAGTTAATAAAGAGATTGATTATCAGCCTGTCAGGAAGTGACAGTTGGACAGGGCGGCTCTGCGTGAATGACAGAGGGCACGCTCACCACACAGCAGCCAACCTGACGCTCTAACACACACACACACACACACATGCTCATGGACACATACAGGAGACTTTGCCAACACGGAGGGGAGGTGGAGGATGTGGAAGAAGGGGAAGACTGGATGGGTGAGAGGCAGGCATGTGGAGAACAGAGACGCAACCTTCTGCCAGTAGAAGTGTTTGCTAATGTATGTGTATGTGTTTGTGTGTAGATGGAGGTGTTGGAGGGGGTCAGAGTTCAGAGTCACCTCCTTCCGCTGAAAAAGACGCCAAGACCCACAGCCAACGGGTCAAAGGAGGTCCAGGAACACACCGTGTGAGCTCACACATTGATGAGCTCACATGCAAAGTCACAATCAGGCTGTATGTGGGTCTGTTTCTGTGTCTCTATGGCTTTTATTCCGAGCAACACCACAGTGCTTCTACTGTTATGCTAAAGACTCATTAAGAAACAATGTGCGTTTCCCCTGGACATTTTGTACAAGTGTGAATACATTCTGGTGAAGCATGGGGCATCATTTAAAAATTACTATATAGAAATAATCCCTAAAACAAGACAGTATGTATAATAAAAAACCAAATGCTTTAAGGTGTAAGGTTATCAAAACAAACATTTAACCTGCCTTAAAAAGCTGTGGCAGCCACAGCAACGTTTTAATTGATTATAAGACTCCATTGAGTGTTTTTCACCCAAGGAGCATTAAACATGGCTTTTTGTACACGAGTTTGAGCTTTTGGAGTTTAAACCCAGAGGATGAATCTGAACCATATTCTATTTTACAAAATAACCAAGAATAATCAAACATCTGTAAAATGTTGCATAATAATTGTGGGAAAATTGCAGCTTTGGGACTGCTGGAGGATGGTAGAAGTCAGAGGGATTGTGGTAGCAGAGACTGGACTGACTTGCTAGCAGCTTTAGATTGTCCAGCGACTTTACAGTATTTTTATTCTCATGGGGGTAGCTCCAGCATTACAGTGGGGAAACCAAGAGGAACCGTGCATTGCTTGTGCCAGTTCAGTTTCTAACTCTCTTGTGGTTCAGATCAACTGGAGCATATTCACCAAACAATTTTCAGGTTCAGTTGAAATTAAATTAATGTTCTTATCTAATTGCTAAAACTGTTAGCTCCTCTCTAAATTACACTCAGAAGGCACTCAATAAAGTGTTTTCATTTGAACTGGATGTCTATAGAGGATGGATGCTAGTGTTGTCAGGGAGACCTGATGGACATTATTGAAAATTAAATTGTCGCCAATGATGATGGGTTAAATTTCTCCAAGCCTGATAGCATTATTGGCCAAAATTATGTAAATAATATCTCTCGCTTGTTGTGGTATGAATACTGATCCCTTGTCTCCCTGTCTTTCTGAGCCCCATAGTGAAATGCATGTAAACTAGTAATAAATGCTGCACCCTAAATGCACCAGGGAGCATTATCACAGATCCTTCCTCCCAGCATTTGTAAGACTCTATAACCAAAACTGTTCCCAACAACTAAAGTTGTTAAATTCATGCTGAATATAACAACTTAGTCAGTTAAATAACATACTGCTGTCATTTTGCACATCTCTGATGTTGCAGCTATTTTCAGACATCCATTATTGTAAAAAATGTCCTTTGTTGTATGTAAAAAAAAATCCTTAGTTGTATGTTGGTTATTTATTCTCCAGGTGCAGTTTTAATATCGTTAAAACACTTTACAGTACATTATTTTATTGATTATCCAATAAATCGTCACTATTATGATATTCTTATACATTTTTTAAGGTCCACATTTGTGTGGGCATTTTTCTCCATAGTTTCCCCATTGTGGGACAATAAAGGGATTTTCTATTTTAGATTAGATTAGATTCAACTTTATTGTCATTATACAGGTACAAGGCAACGAAATGTAGTTTTGGGACTAACCAGAAGTGCAATAGCAGCAAGTGCAGGATAAATAATGGTTCCATAAATATAGGACATGGGTTTCAGCATTCAATTCAGTTATATTCTATTGTATTCCCTTCAAGTCTATTCTATTTTATTCTTTTCTATCAAAAGTGCTGAAATGTTGCATGTAAAAGGGCAAACATCTGAAAAAACAAAATGTTATGCTCTTCTTTGAGGACATTCTCCTGTTTCAGGTGTTCCTTCTTCCTC